TTGAAAAACAACAACTTCACTGTGAGGAATCCAGTTAGAACCATCAGTGGCACCCTGAACTGTGATCTTGGCTGGACCTAGGTGGCAGAGGGTGGGAGGCTGGATCAGTCTCCCGACTACTACACACACACACCACATTCACGTATTCTCTCTCTCTCTCTCTCTCTCTCTCTCTGTGTGTGTGTGTGTGTGTGTGTGTGTGTTCCTCCTCCTTTTTCTTCCAAGCAGGGACAGGCAGGCAGCAGATTTGAGATCTGGTGGGAAAGGTGGGCTTGAAAGGAGGAGGATCTCTGACACAGACCCTTGATTTCACATTCCACACTGAGACCTTTTCCCACTTGGTTTCCACTCCATGAATTACCCGTGAACAGACTGCAATTACAAAATGTGTGTCTTTGGTTCTTCCCCTTTCTGAGCTGGCAATCTCAATCTGATTACCATCGGAGAACATCCAGGGTGAGGAAGCTGGGAAGGCAAGAGGAATCATGGTACTCACGACCCAAGGGCTATACACAAAGTCAGTGTTATACGATGACTTAAGAGGTGTGTGGTGATGATGCCAGCAGTGTACAATCACACAAGGGGCCTTTGGTGGTTCAAGTCATGCATGTTGTCCCGGAGCAAAGGAGACTTAAACTCTCCCACACAGCAGTGAAGTCATCATTATGCATTCCCTGCTGTCTCCAATCCTTATGGAGGTTAAGAAATGCCCCTACAAATACATCTTCCACTCTCTGTTCCTAGGTTCCTGTGGGCTGTGAAATGCTTCAGGAGGCTCCAATAATTATTCACAGATTTAAGTGGGGCGGCACTAGTGTAAGCCATGGTCTGTGAGAGAATTTAGAAGCTACTTGCTAGACTCTTGGCACCACGTTTTCTGAGTGTGTTAGCATGGACTGCAGCCGATAATGAGACTCCCGTATCATCAGCATCTCATCTATAGATTTAAAAAAAAATGCCAGTTGTACATTGAAACTATTTGGAAAAGAATTTCTTTTAAGTATGTATAGAGTTTTTCTTGTCACAACTGCTTAAACAATACAGTATAACAATTACACAGCATGCCCATTGCATTTAGCATTCTGAGCAATTTGGAGGTGAATTAAATGAATGAGAAAGGATATATAGGTTACATGCAAATGTTAATCAGATTTAGATAAAAGACTTGAATGCCCTCAGATTTTGGTTTTCACAGGGTCTGAGAAACAGCTCTCTGCCCACATTTTACATGTTACAAAATGAACATCACATTTTGTAAGCTATGAGAGACTCAAATAGGGAGCTCCATTTCAGACATTAATCTTATAGCACACAGTACATGGTGAAGTATGTACACAGTACATAGCTAAGTACCCTTCGCTTATATATAAGATATTTCTGAAGTAAGTACCCATAGAGATTAGAATATGTGTCATTTGGCTTTGCTGGGTGAATATTAAAAGCTAAATTGAATGATATAAAATATTCTTTTAAGTACAAATTTTATTAAAGTACAACAACCATCAGATGAAGCAGTTATGTAGCAAGCATGCAGAGTTTACAATGAACTTACATGTATATTGTCTCATATGACACTCACAGCAGTCAGCTTGTGAAGGAAGTACTCTCATCATTCCTGACTTTCATAAGGGAAAGCTGACGAATAAGCAATTGGAAGACAATTCTAAGTTTATGTTCCTAGTGAGGTGGCAGATCTAAACGTAAACCTGGCCAAGTTTACAATGTAAGAAACCTTGCCTTTAATATTTTTACTTTTTTTACCAAACTGCTTCCTATATCTTCTCCAGTCAGCTTTCTGTGACTGTGGCAGAGTGCCGGACAGGGAAGAACCCTTGGGTCAATGGTCTGTTTGCTCCTTTGTTTGGAGGCCACAGAAAGGCAGCATATGATGGACAGGACCCCTTGGGTACCAGAGTTATGATGGCCGGAAAGCAAAGAGAGCACGAGGAAGGGACCAGCATCCCACTGTCCTTTTCAAAAGCATGCCCACAGTGGTTCAGCTTCCTTCTGCTACTCCATCCTACCTAAGATTCTATCACTTTCTCATCATATCACAGGCTGGCAATAAGGCTTTTAGCACATGGGCTGTAGGGACCTTCTACATCCATGTTGTAGCAATCTGTCATTTGGGATTGAGATAGAGTTTGTCAATGAACTAATAATTTAAAGATGTTTCCAAGATTTATGGTATAGAGTTTGTCAATAAACTAATAATTTAAAGGTATTTCCAAGATTTATGCTAATCAGAAGGAAGTAATCAAATGAGTGTCAATGTGTATCTTAAGCCGAACCTCTGTTTGTAGTCACTAAGTGTGAATGAGATGTCCTGGCCTGAGAGTTCACAGTCAAAGGGGACCACGAGCAAAGAGGATGAAGACATAAGACGATGGGATAGAAGAAAAGGAAGTGACTTATGGTGAATATGATCAAACCACGTTACGTTTTTAGGAAAACATCACACAACATTTTTTTCTACGTGTACTAGTTGCTGACAAAAACATAAAGGTTTTAGAGCACATGTCATTCACCCCACAGTTGGCACTGGAGGGCTCCAATGGTGTACTATGTTTTCCAGACTCCTGGTCATCTATAATATTTATGTTTCCTTATCTTTGCCATGGAAATGCCTAACCTCAAATTCTTAGCTATCACACAGTAAGTGCTGCTTCAAATCTCTAAAACCTTTAGCCAAAGCCTTTTATTCATTCTGACTGCTGGATTCCCCTCTGGCTCCAGCAAGGCCCCTGTACAGGAACTTGCCTTCCAAGCAAGCAGATTAGTTTATGGCCCTACAAGGTTAAGCGTGATACATGTGTTTGGGGAAAATGGAGATGCACGTTAAGAGGAAACATTACTTTTTGATCCAGGCGGGAAAGCATACATAATCTCCTCTAGAGCCTGTGAAAGACTTCATTTTACACATGAAATTGTGTGGAATCGCCCCAGACTGCGTTGAACATGGTTTTTGAGCATAGCTGTTCTCAGAACAAGTTGCTGAGCACCAGTTAGGGCCTCAGAGCACCAAAGAATAAATATAAGCAAATGTAATCTGTATGGAATTGTAGAGAATAAACATATACTACTGTTGGCACAGTGCCTGGATGGGACCAGTTCTCAACATTACAGTGGGATGTGTTAAGAACAGAGTCAAAAATAGACTCTGATCACATGAAGAAAATATGACACAAAGGGGCTTATCGTGCTGTAGAAAATTCTGATATCAAGTGTACATTTAATCGTTTAAAAAGGGGCTTTTTGATTTTTCTGTACATTGTAAAACTTTCTTTTCTGGTATAAAAATCCAGGCCTGAGAAGCTGGAGGAAGCAACCACATTTTTCTAAGCAGTGAATTTTTAGTCATTTGCAAATTAGCCTAATCTTCATATTTGATCAAAAGCATTATTTGGGGGCTGAATGGAGACCATGAGATTATACTATATAAGCTGCTTCCGAGCTTAACATGCCCTGGTTTTCAAGCCATAATAAAGAAACTACACATAAAAAATTCAGGGGAAAGCTCTTTTGTATATATGGGGATTGCTGGTATCTTCTGATGGGTCATCTTACTCTTGTTATTAAATGACAGTGATCATTAAAATGCCAAACATATCTCGACAGAATTTGGTTTATAAAATGTCAGCAAGTCTGTGTTTTTATTAGTTTGTTCCAAATCAATTTAGAAATTTCAATAGACTGCTTGTAAGAATTCCCTAAGCAATGTCCATTCCTGACTTTCTGCACAAAAAAATATTACAAATTAATCAGATTTTCAGATTTCTGCATAATGGCTTTGCACGTTTATTGCTTAATCCTATTATAAAATGCTGTTATGATTGACACATCGCTGTGGAAATAGAAGTCAATTGAATAATATGTAGCAGTCAATTTTATTTGTAGCTTAATGTGCTGAAGTATTTTTTCCACATTTCCATTATTTATAAGTCTGTCCCTTTGGAGACGATATAGAAGAATTTGTTTTAAATGAGCCAATAATACCTTCTTTAAAATTTATAAGCATGACAGAATCATATCTTTTTTCATTGGTTGGCCTCAGCATGCCAGTAAACAGAGTCTGAAATGTCTTCCACTTGCTATTCATAGGACAAACACCAGGAAAGTGGATCTTGTTAAGGTTTGCTTAGAACTGGATTTCAACCACCCCAATAGAAAACGCCAAGAAAAGTCCCCAACAGGGACACTTCAGAAATGGCAGTTTTGTTTATTTTTATTCAAGTATTTATATATTTTTTTTACTCAAGTATTTATTGTTTCTACCATTATCCGAACCACTTTGGTTTGTCCTAAAATGAAGCACAAACACATGCAGACAATGCCCAAAGGCTTTAGAGATTTGCTGTCAGGGTACTTGAAATGCAACAGGATCTCAGCACGGGAATACAACTAGTTCAGTGCCTACCGGAGCGGGTCTCTGTGAATTGATGGGAGACATTTCTCTTTTGCTCTGCACCCAGAAAACTCGCCTAAGGGGACCCATATTCCTTTTAGGACACTGTGGAAGGGCACGCTAGAAAGGGCTGTGGTTCATAAGAGTCCATCCAAGGCCAGCAAGCTGGCCTAAGGGAACAGAACAGAGGGAAGAATCTCTACCAGTGGACAATATGAGAGAGATGGTCATGTCTGAGACTGTACTTTGGCTTTGGACAACTGGCTTATCTATTATTCATTTAAGCATAACAGACACGTTTCACAACATGTCCCAAAACATGTACACACACACATGTGAACTAGAGTGCGCTTTCCAAACTGATGTCTAATGTAAGTCTTTTGGCATATATATGAAAGAACACCTTTTCCTATTGTCTATCTCCTGATGACTTTGGCCATCCTGAATGTACTATAGCATCATTTTTACCATAACTGGGACTACTGAAAAATCACTCTTTAATAAGCATCTATTCCTCAGCGTCCTGTGATATCACAGAAATATACTGTTGCTAGGCTGCTGTTGATACTAAGGAAGCTCTTCTTTTGAATTCTAGGGGCCAGAGGAAACACAGTCCTATCAGACCCAGGAACTCCTGACCAGCACCAGGCCAGTCAGACCCACCCCCCATTTCCAGTTGGGCCACAGGTCAGTATCACTCAACTGCTTTCCATTAGGCTGCATTTAGGATGGTTTTACTATATAAATAACCAAATAAATAATAATGAGTTAAATCCAATTAACTCCAACAGAGCAAAGATGATGATAAATTTTTATATGAAAAGCTATATGACTACATTATTTATTAAATACTCTCAAGAAAATATGTGTTTGCAAAAGTCTCTTCTTAAAGGAAAGGTTGGTTTTAATCATGTGGAATTTTTTTTTCCTTTAAAACCTACTACATCTAGGCTGTTGGCTACCATGCAGTTTTTTTTTAAAGTAAAACTTTAATGACTGGAGTGTGAAGAAAATTAAGTTATTTCAACCTTACTATAGCCATTTTTGAAATACAAGATGTGATTTAATATAAAAAAGTTAATGCAATTTTAATGCAAGTTCAGCTTATTGGGTTTGACAATACTGTACATCACACATAGCTCTTGCATTAATAAAGAAATACATTCATTATTTTTTAAAGTCCAATATTTGTTTTTTTGCAGCCTGGCGTGGGTTATATGGAGATGTAGAACACAATTATAAAAGGCTGGGCTTCCTTTAACCTCTGCCATCTACTGTGAAACTTTCAGAGTTCATCTTGCTTTTAGGGAGAGAAATGTCTGTGCCTTTCCCCATTGCTGCTGTTGTTGTCCCTGGAAATCAATCACTTTCAGTATAAGGAGGGCTTGCCCAAGTGGAAAGCTTGACTCAGTTACGTCACTCTTATTCTAGTTGCCATAAAATCTTCCAGTGGCCTCAGATCCTATCACCCATCTCAGAGACCACACAGCTCCAGACATGAAGACTGGGCAGTGTCTATTTGGGAGATCAAAACCTAGATTGAGCTCATAGACATGAGTCATGGGCTTCTATGTGTCATACCCTCATAATGATATTCTTCTTACCTCATATGTTCATATGTGTAAGTGCTTCTGTACGTGTGTGTGCACAGATGTTCCTAGAAGTCCATGAGTCTCAAACTGGTCTAATACTCCAAGTTAGGTAACTAGAATGACTAACTCAAGACAATGAAGAAGCATGGCTCTGTGCCAACTAGGAGCAGACACACCCTACATTAAGCCCAAAATCCAGTCTTAAAATTCTGCATGTCAAGTCTCTAAACCTGTGTATAGTCTGAGAGCTACTACACGCTTCCTTTGAAACATTGCACTGATCAGCCACAATATCTTACCAGGAACCAAGCTACAATTTCATTATTGTTCCCTAAGTCTGATGATTTTTTTCTACAGAGTAACTTCATATTTTTTAAAGGGAGGAGCAAAGTTATTGCTATAAATTCAATAAAGTGAACAAACACATTGGAAGCCCAATACCTCTCAAGAGCTTCTTTTGAAAGATCTAGATGGTACTCCAGAGGGATAGCCAGAGAATGTGCCCACTCTTCAAATGAAATAGTCCCCTTTCTCTTAGTCTGTTCCTTGTATAGACTCTGGAACAGTCTATCCAGTCTTAAACTTGGCCTCTCCATTCATGAGACATGAACTTCCAGGAAGTTATGAAACTCTGTGAGTCTCATTGGTAGGATAAGTGAAATGTAGGGTCTGGTGATTATAATCTACCTTTATATCGTGTACATATTTAAATACATTTATTATGTTTCATCTAAAAGAAAGTTAATCCTAAATAGAGTTTAATGGATTAAAGACCCCAAGATTAAGTGACTTGTGCAGCTATTTAGCCTGGCCAGAACCACAATCTTAGGATATGACTCCAGTGAGAACCCTACCCCAGCACTCAAACAAGTTTTATTCTCTACTGCTGCCTTTTACACCAAATGGTGATTATTCAATCAAAAGTGGACATAAACACGTGTTTTAATAATAACATCTTTATTGTGTGAAAAATATGAGAGAATTAACAGAAAAAAATTTTTAGTATTATATCTTAGAGTATAAATATTTGGTTTTCTATTACATTTTATGTCTTGACACCTCTCACACACACATATATGTGTTAACACACATGCACACACACATATTACCATCTCAATAGTAGCCACTTGTCTATTTAGAAACTATCCAATTACTTTTCATATCAGAAACATATTTTTAACTTTCCTAAATAGATACCCAAATGATCCATGTTAATGAATACACAGCACCTCACCAAGCTTAGCACTATACTATGAACAGCTTCACCATTTATGTAACTCGAAGTATATTGCATAATTTCGTACATTTATCTCTTTTCCCTTTGAATTCTATCTTGAAACTGTATCCTAAGAATATATTCTGAGTCAAACAAGGATGAATATATTTGCCGCTCTTGAAATGTATGTATTTCCAAATTGCTTTCCCAAAGAATTATGCCCGCAATCAGGTCCTCCAGCCACAGATGTGTGTGACAGCATTACTAAAGACCTTCTAGCATCCAGAAAATCTTTGACACTATTTTTGTTAACGTAATCATTGAAAACAGTGTGTTTTTACTATTTTTGAACCAAAATAGAATAAAAATCCTACCAAAATCAATGAATTCTTTCTGTAACAACATAGAAAAAATTAGCTGAACGTTATAAATATATGAGAACTGGGATCTAATGAAAATTCAATTGAATTTGCAGTATATAAAGACATGATATTTCTTTTAAAGATGTTTAAGCTTCAAGGAGATTCTGAAAAAAAAAGAAAAATTTCAAAGGTAAAGAAAACATAATGTCAAACTTTTTCCTCCTCCCAGTCTTCTTTTCTGGGATGGAGTATGCTTCTTGGCTGCTTGAGAAACCTTCTGACTGGATATAATGGAGGCACCGTGCTTTAAAAACCATGTGTTATTTCTGCTGGAAAGTGAGCCAGGTCTCTCCTGTTTTGCAGCCTCTTCTGACGGCACAGCAGCTTGCCTCTGCTGTGGCAGGGGTGATGCCGGGAGGCCCCCCAGCCCTCAACCAGCCCATCCTCATCCCCTTCAACATGGCAGGACAACTAGGCGGTCAGCAAGGCCTGGTCCTCACGCTGCCCACAGCGAATCTCACAAACATCCAAGGGCTGGTAGCAGCAGCTGCAGCGGGAGGCATCATGACTCTGCCATTGCAAAATCTACAAGGTAACATCATGCCCAGGTGCTGTGCAGTGTTACACTCGTTCTTCTCTGAAATGGAAAAAGTGTAGCGTAGGGAGGCTTCTATCATAAAGGGCACAAAAGGCCTCTATGGAAAGCAACATTTACAGCTGTTTATGAACCCTGAGCTTATTTAATCTGTGGTTTTATCAACCCTCATTTCCTCTCATGAACAGCAGCTTTTCGGGTCCTCCAGTAGTTACAAGCAATCATGACGGGGTACACCATCATTTAAATGTGGAACTGTAGCATTGTTATTTGAAGACTCATTTATAATCTGGCAAGGTATTCAATTTGGCCACATGCAAGGAAAGGTAGGGTGTTCTTTACATCTGAGCTAAGTGGTTGGGATACCATAAATACAAAATGTCATATGGAATTATTAATTTAATGATTATTTTGCTACTATGTAGGCTTTAGATGTAAGTATTAAGCTGTATTATTTCAGCTTTTTGGTAGAAGCAAGACCTGGTAGAAGGGAGAAGTTTTTATTTAGAATTTGAATTTTTTAGCTATTCTTAAAAATTTTGAAAAGAACAACAGTGGTTGTTGTCAGAGAAAGAATAATTATGGTGAGAAATGTTATGAATAAGAATATAATGTCTGGTGACAAAAAAAGAAAGAAAAGAAAAGAAAATTAAAAAAATCCAACTATTTACTTTGGGATACTTAAAGCAGTTGGCAGTCTTCATTTACGTAAATGTAAGAATATTTTTGTTTTACAGAATAAAGGTTTGTCTGGGTAAGTCCTCAGAATAACAATTTAAAGTACTTTTTAAATTGGTCAGATGTTAGATGCTTATATGGTTTTTTAAAAATTGGTTAGCACATCCATTCACACACTGAAGAACAACTAAGAACTAAAGGATCTTGTTCCTTTGGACCTCTTTGCAGTCTGTGTTCTGATATTCCACCCATTGTGGCTACTTCTTAACTTTCAGTTTAATGTTTAAAACAAAGTCTCCCTTATACCGTTAAATTGTGCCAAGAACTTGGCCATTCATAAATCATGCATGCTCAGGATACACTAATGCATGAACTTTGCTTGTTTCAAATTTGAGTGCCTGGGAAGCCAGGAACTTGAGATTAAGCAAATAAAACAGGAATACACAAGGTGAAAGCCGAAGCAACAAAGTGTAGGGCTAGGCTTCTTAATGTAGGTGGGTGATGAAATCTTAATGAAGAAACGGGCATTATCAAAATGCAGCCTTCCATTTGGAACATGTGTGCTTATGGGAATCTTGAATATTATAAATAAACATCAGCTTGCCGAGCTCCTGGGCTGTGAATTAATTCTGCTTGGTTAAGATGGACACCAAAGTCAGAGTGAAAAAAAAGCAAGTCTTTTGTACTTTCACTGCTGGCCAGTGTTGTTGGGATTTTTCGTACCTGTTATTTAAGAGTTTCAAAATCAGTGCTGGCCCAGTGTGCAGCAAGGTCATCCCTGCTTTGTTTTCAATGTGAAGTGTGGGCTTGTGCTTTGGACCTTGACTTCTTGGCACTGGTGCTTTCACGTCACACCTGTGTCTGTGCCCAGGGTAAGGGCAGCAGAAGCGTTAACTCCTTTCGTCTCTTAGTTCCCTTGACAAATGTTCCAAACAATATTTGTGCTCTCAACCAAGCTCATGTCGGCCACAGAACTGTGAACAAATATTTTTTCCCTTTGAAGTCATCTTTGAAATTTTAGTGATCAAAGGAGGGGATGAGGTCATTCATGTGAAACTCTCTATCAGGAAGTCAGCTGACTGGGGGAAGCTTCCCTCATTGGTCTTAACATCAAGCCCCTCCTTGAAGGATGTTGAACATCCTCTCCCTCGAGGTCCAAATCAACACCAGATAAGAAAGTTCTACTTTTGGTTTCTTTAGGCATTTCTGACCTTCCCATATTCTCTCAACACCCAGACCTCACTAACCAAAGATGTAACCCTACTGGTTTACTGGCAATTGGGATATTTCCAATCTCCAGGGTTAAAAATCAGCAAATTTCCAGGAAAATCAGAAAGATTTAGTTGCCAAGTGATAAGTCTGAAGGTAATAAGGATGATAACTAGAACGTTTATCTCCAAGGTGATCAAGATCAACGTACATTACTTGAAGAGCAATCACCTTGCATCCAGTCCATCAGCATTCAGCCCAAGGCTGATCTCAACACCTTTAGGTGACCTCCTATAGCAGTGGCTCTCAACCTGTGGGTAGTAACCCCAGTGGCAAACCTCTATCTTCAAAAATCTTTGCATTATGATTCCTAACAGTAGCAATAATACAGTTACAAAGTAGCAGCGAAAATAATTTTATCACTGGGAGGTCACCACAACATGAGGAACTGTATTAAAGGGTTTCAGCATTAGGAAAGTTGGGAACTTTGATTCTACAGTCTGTGATGATCCCTAGGCAATGCTTTGGTGGTGAAGCTTCCTGAGTTTTATTGAATTGGAGAAGGCCATGTCATGTGGGAAAATGGCAGAGAAAAATCATCTCTAAGGGTTCGGTCTACTTTGAGATAGAATGACATCTCTAGATGTCCTCAACTCATAACTTTTCTCAAAAGTTGTGGTCCTGCCAATGAACACATTAGAATGATCTGTACACACATGTATGTATTCAAAATTAACAAAAAGGGTAGAAGGCTGTTCTTCTTGCAGAACCCACTCCTCATACAATAAACATGTTAACTTCAGCCCAAGGTTTTCACTATTTGGGGGGGGCGTGTAGGGTGTTTATTTTGCTAGTTTGTTTTGAGACAGACTTATTTGTGTAGCCTTGGCAGTCCTGGAACTAGCTTAGACCAGGCTGGCCTTGAACTCATAGAGATCTGAGTACAGAGATTACAGGCATGCATCACCACCACTTGGCTGATTTTCAGTCTTTTAAAATGACTGATAAGTCTGTTCATCTATAATAAACATCCCACTTTCTCAATGATTTGAGTAGGGAAAGTTACGGGGGGGGGTTTAATTGTAACACACCTAGTCCTAATCATATATGTCATACTTAGAGCCAGATAGTTCCCTCTTTCCTCTTGTAGAGTATTATGGGATTTTTTAGTTCATGATTTTACTTAACCTGCAAGAATTTTGTCTTATGATTTTCCAGCTTTCTTGTCCAATCCTCCCTCTGCCCATTCTTGTAATTCAAAAGCTAAATATTTGCTAGGAAGATTAAAAATATGTTTCTAGCACCAGTTTCTGAATGGCTTGGAGCTCCGTGAAATGTTTTCAAATATTTTCCTTTATACTAATGTGATTGAGAACTTATCGTCTACATCCTCTATCAAATAACAATACAGTTCTCAAAGGGGCCCATAATGCACAGATGCTCATGATGAGCGCTGGTGAAGAGATGAGAGTGATCCTCCTAGACCCAGGGGTTCACTGGACCATCTCCCCGTCCGAATGTGGTCCTAGACAGCAGCAGGGAGCTTGAAAACACAGAACCTCAGGCTGCAGCAGAAACCTGGACCAGAATCTGCATTTTCACAATTTTCCCTAGGCAATTCCAGTACACATTCATATTTAAGAAATGAAAGAGACTAAGATGCTTTCTTATCTCCAGTTGGCAGCTCCTCTCCTCACACAGTCTTGGTCCATTTTGGCTCCTATATAAAAATCCCATGGCCCTGGTGGTGTACAAACAGCAGACTTCCTTTCCTGCAGTTCTGGGGTCTGGGAATCTAAGGTCAGTTCTGACAGGTGCCCAGTCCCTCCTCCACTGAGTCCTCACTCGCAGGAGAGACTTTGGGTTTTCTTTTTTAAGGACACTAGTTTTTTACTCTGATCACTTTTCAGAGGCCTTATTCACACCCGTTCTTAGGGGATTCAATTTTGCTACAAATGTGGGAGGAACACAAACATTCAGGCCATTGTATCCCCTAACACTGGCAGATTTCCTCTCAAGAAAGAGATTCCCTCCCATCTTAATGCTGACATTGTGTTGTTTGTAAAGAATTTTGTTGATAGTTCCATACTACAAGAGTAAGGAACAGAGCATTACATAGGGTCCTAGGAATGGCCTGTAGGCAAATCTCATTCTAGCCCAAAGTGAGGTCTGAGTCCCAGAGTATCCAAGTGGCTATGAGGTGGCTAGGTGAACTAATTTCATGTATGCAGCAGACAAATGACTAAAACTCCATTTTACATCTTTTGCTGTTGCATTCAGGTCACTTCTCTACTGTAACTTAGGTTCATTTGTGGTCCACTTTCCAACTCTAGTAGCTATGAGGAACTTTATACCACTACCAAGCTCCATTGTGTTTATAGCCTTTGATTTCTAATTTTAGAATACCTAAGAGAGAAATTACCTGTTAGGATGGGATATTTATATTCTGGATTACCTTAATTTCACTAGCCGAGGGGGAGTGTAGTTGTAATTTTCTTTTTGCCACCAACCAACTTCCAAATAAAGACATGGAGATTTATTATTAATTATGAATGCTCATCCTTAGCCTAGGCTTGTCCCACTAATTCTTCTAAATTAATTTAACCTGTTTCTATTTCTATGTTTTGCCTTGGTACTTTTTACCTTTTTTTCATTCTGAACATCCCAATTTCCTCTTCCTCCATGTCTGTCTGTCTGGCTGGCCCCTGGCATTTCCCTATACTTTCCTTTTCTTCTTTTTTTGAGCCTAAATTTCTCCTCCTACTTATACTTCCTGCCCAGTTCCACCTATACGCCTTTATCACTACTGACTCTTCAACTTTTTATTAAACCAATCAGGTTCCTTAGGCAGGCAAGATAAAACAGCAACACATCTTTCCACAATTAAACAAATGTGACATATCTTTACATAATTAAATAAATATTATGCAACATAAACAAAGCAACACATCTTTGGATAGTTAAACACATATTCCAGAACATGGGAGATTATCAGGCCCCATGTTGAGGTGCTTATTCTTAGTCAATGTGTATTAGAATGTATGGAACCTGAGCAAGCATGCTGAGGGAATATGCTAGACCCTTTGTGCCATGGTTATAGGACAGTAAAT